AGAGCAAATCTCTTGAATTTGGTTCAAAAGAGCCTTGAAGCCCGGCCAGCATGGCTCAATGGTTGAGTGTCAACCTATGAATCATGAGGTCACAGTTCAGTTCTGTCAGGGCAAATGCCTGGGTTGTGGGCTTGATCCCTAGTATAAGACATGTAAGAGGCAGCCAATCAATGATTCTCTCTCATGTTGATGTTTCTATCTCTCTCTTCCTCTCCCTTCCTTTCTGAAATCAATAAAAAAATATATTTTTAAAAAAGAACCTTGAAAACAGAACTTCTTGATAGACATTCCTTCGAAACTACCACAGTGATGCCCTTCTGCTTGAGTTTTACCAGAGCTGGTCACTCTCAATGAATTAGAGCAACCATGACATTTGGGTTCCGTGTGTGTGTGTGTGTGTGTGTGTGTGTGTGTGTGTGTGAGAGAGAGAGAGAGAGAGAGAGAGAGAGAGAGAGAGAGAGAATATATATATTTAGCAGTAGAAAGAGGAACCATACTCGGTCAGTGGAATCTCAAGCAAGACAATATTGGTTTCCTATTGCCATGCACTCCCCAGGACTTGCCACAGCAGAGGTGCTTGATACATTTTGGTTGAATTACTCTATTGAAAATTTAAGTATGTTTATTACTCATATATACCCAATGCCAAGCACAGAGTATGTGACTAGTATATATTTGTTGATTGAATGGGTAACTAACCCCAAACCAAACAGCAACAAGTTGGGTCCTCTGCATTCCTCTGCATTCCTCTGCCCTTCCGGGGCTTGTTCCTCCGTTTCAACAACACTTCCTTCCTTCCTTGTCACATCGATTGAGAGACTGTGGTATGGCAGCTATTTGCTCAGGCCCTGGAAACAGACAACCTATTTTTAAAAAACAGAAACTGGTTCTTCTACCTAGTAGGTGAACAACTAGGTTGACCTTTATTCTTACTTTCCCTATTAGTAAAAAGAGTAATAGTACCTACCCGGGAGAGTTGTGAGGTTTAAATCAGACACGGCATGCAGAGCGAGCAGCACAGTGCCTGTGAGGTACTAAGAGCTCAGTAATGCTGATATATCACTTATGATTTTTCAGCCGCAACCCCATTCAATTATTTTTCCAAATATCAGGCTGCCCCCCCACACACACAAACACACACACACAAACATAAAAGAAAAGGAAGGAAGGGAGGGAGGGAGGGAGGGAGGCAAATAAGCTGTGATTTCCAACCTGAGATTTTCTATGCCTGTTTGATGTCAATTTAATGTTGCTAAAAATACAGTCGCCTTGTAAGGAGGAGGATACTGAGAAGGTGGGAGCCAGGATCCCCATTCCTTTTCAACAAGAGAAATTTCACTTGAATTTCTTTTATAAATTGGAGTTCTTTGGAGATTTTTTAAAAATTCCCCTGCTTAAATCAAAGTTTGAAACCATTATCCCACACCAGGTTGCTTCACCTTATCTGTTTTAGTACAGTTGTAAAGAGATCTAGGTCTACGGTACTTCCTGCCAGTAACTGGCTGGGTTAACTTGAGCAAATCACCTGACTTCTCTGCTCGTGGCTCCCTATCTATGAAATGTGTAATTTGAAAAGATAATTTCAAGGCTCATGTTTCCCTATAAACGAAACATCTGCAAATGAGCTGTTTTGAGTAGCTTGATAAATTAAAGCTCTCTCTCTTTTTGATTACAATAGTCACTTAACTCTAATAACCTGGGGCAATATGTACACAAATAAATATGTGTTGAACAACAAACCAGTGAATGAGTTAATTGTCGATTAAAATGGTGATGGGCTGTTGCATTGCCTGAGCCCTCTTGGGTCCATGTATGCTTCAATGGGCTGTAATGGGCGATGACAGTTTTTTTCTACCAGCTAAGGGCTCTGGGGAAGTGAGAAAAGCATGATTTAGTCCAGTGATTAGGAGTAGGAGTTGGGTATCTTGCTTTAATTATTTACCAACAGATTGTGAATCCAATTTATCAAGTAGGCCTACCATTTATATCTCTCATGCAGTTCCCAAATCCATCTCTAGTCTCCTTTGTACCACAGTAGACCAAGTGCCCGTCCTCTATACTTATCCTACAATAATCTAATTCCACTCTTCTTGCCTCCAATTTACTTTATATAGGTGCTAATCATTCTCAATCACTGGAACCTATATGTTTCTGTCAGGGCACTATCACACATTTGGCTGTATAGCTATTTTCTGTTTCATGAAAACAGAAAGCTTTATTATTCACTATTGTAGCCCAACTCCACTCGCCACCAAGGCCAACATATAGAACCTTTCCACAAATATTCAAGGAATGAATGCAAGTGAATTCTCAAAGACTGAGAGACCATGTCTTTTTTTTTTTTAATTACAAAGGGTATTACATATGTGTCCATTTTTTCCCCCCTCCCAAGACAGTCCCCTAGCCTCCCCTATCCCCCAGTGTCTTATGTCCATTGGTTATGCTTATATGCATGCATACAAGTCCTTTTT